TACTCGCCGCGCGTGGCCAAGATCCACCTCCACAACCTGTAGACAAGAAATGGGTGTCGCACTTCGTCTAGAGCCAGCCAGAGCTTCAGAAAAAGTGGAGTAGAAGGCTTGATAGCCAGCGCGCCCAGTATGAGGATCCTGCTATAATTGCAGCGCGGTTTAAGCTAGTAGAGGAGACGCGCCAGACGTACGGCGTTCTAGATCAAGATATCTACAACTTTGACGAGACTGGGTTCGCGATGGGTATGGCTAGCACGTCAAAGGTAGTTACGAGCGCTGACAGAGTTGGTCGAGAAGCCGTCGTACAGCCAGGCAATCGCGAGTGGGTTACAGTGATCGAGTGCGTCAACGCGTCTGGCTGGTCGGTCTCTGCTACCATTTGTGATACTGTCTGGCAAGGTCCACCAGAGCAGCTGGTATCACAACCTCCCACTAGACTGGACTATCAGCGTCTCAGGCAATGGCTGGACGACTGGTCAGCTTGGCGTAGAGTGGGTGAAGCACTTTAACCAGCATACAGCAGCTCGTACAGCTGGAGCCTATTGACTCCTTATTCTAGACGGCCATGGTAGCCACGCAACGCCAGAGTTTGACCAGTACTGTACAGAGAACAAGATTATCGCTCTCTGCATGCCGTCTCACACGTCGCATCTACTTCAGCCACTAGATATGAGCTGCTACTCTCCTCTTAAGCGCGCGTACGGACGCAAGGTTGAGGAGCTCGCCCGGCATGGGGTCTACCACGTTGACAAAACAGACTTTCTTACAGCCTATACACGGATCCGGCCGACAGTTTTCACGCAGCAGAACATCCAGGCAGGCTTTCGGGCGACAGGGCTTGTCCCTCCTCGTCCAGATCACGTTCTATCGTCTCTTACAGTTGTTCGTACGCCGTCTCCACTACAGACAACTATAGATAATGACGCCGTAATGCAGGCAAAGACACCGCGTACAGTAGCCCAGCTTCAGCAGCAAGCACGCTACCTTAAGGACCGGCTCTATCGGCAATCAGAGAGTCCAACAAGTATTGCTATACGCTAGCTTGCTAAAAGTGCTCAGCTCACAATGCAATCAGCAACAATACTTGCAGAGGAGAATAAGAGGCTACGTGCAGCTAACCAACGCTGGAGACAAAAGCAAGACCAGCCGCGTCAACATATTGCTTCTGGTGGAGTGCTCCAAGCTCAGCAGGCTCAGCAGATTGGTTGCAGAGGGGGATGGCCAGAACCAGGTTGGTGAGCGACGTCGGCGCGCGCCGCCAACGTGTACGAAGTGCCATATTCAAGGACATACTCGCACTTCATGTAGAGCTATACAATAAATTATATCTATTAATCTTATTATATTTTATTACGTTGTCGTGGATCAATTGCGCAGAGCGTCGGGTCAGGTTGGGTGGGGTGCGCAGCTTACTGATCCTGTGCGTTAAGATGGGAGAGACGTGCAAGTTTGGTGGGGTGCGGCGGTCGCCCGTGAAATATATTATACTTTAGCTAACTTCTGGCTTTAACCTTTCTAACCATGAGGGGTTTATCTACTGCTGGCAAGACTGATGACCCAAACTCAATCGTGGGATATCTATTGTGTAATCCAATTTGAGCCTCCCCTGGCATTCTGATGTCGTAGTTGGAAATCAGTCTGATAAGGGTAATCTTGATAACATGATGTGCATAAAACCTGCCAGGGCAGACGTGGTTACCAACCCCCCATCGAAACTCGGTTTCATTAGCAATCAACCATCGATGGTTGGGTTGATCCTCTTGGGGCTTGGCCTCGCGTAACTTGGAATATCGGAACCCATCAAAGATTTGATCACCAGGAGTAATGATGGATGGGTTCGGTACAACTACAGTTGCGCTTGGGGGTAGGAACTGTCCATTTGATAGAGTAAACCCTTTACGAACGCTGCGAAAATATGGTTCTAACCATCTTTTAGTCGAATTCAAGGGTCAAAAAAATGGAACATACCTATAACCGGGTGATAAACTTGACCAGTCTCCTTCAGATAACTGTCCAACTTCCAAAATCCCTTCAAGTCTTGAGCTGAAATAGAACCATCATTAGGCAGATTATTTCTGATCTCTTCTCTGAGTGGCTCGACATATTCGGGAGTTACCGCTAATGTATGTAAAATGGAGACCAGTGTCAACATAACTGGGTTGATGATTCCTAGAATGAGAATTATTTGTGCAGCCGCACAGCCTTCCAAGTAATCTGTCTGACTCTCACTTCGATTAATCAGCCATTGCATCATGTCTTCTGGTGGATTCCAGTTCGGGTCCGTTCTACTAGCTTGATCTCTCTTCTCGATTACACGCTTTACGTGGCTTTTCAATCTTGTTACCGTGACAACAAGACGTTTAACCTTGGAAAGACGAGGACATAGCAAGGGTCTGAGCCATGGTCGTGTGCCTTTGATTTCCTTTATAGCTTCGAAGAGATGGACAATATAATCTCGTGTACATTCAAGGTAATCTGCGTTGTTAGAGACATCAGACCCGGCGAATAAATGACTCGAGGCTTTAGAAACGATGTCCAGCATCGATTTCGATGTATTGATTTCTGTCCAGTCATCGTGTGAAGGCAGATATTGCTTTATCGCCGAATCAACTTCGTCACAAATAGCGGGGGTTATCTCATCTGATGCTGTTAATAGATCGTATCTAATACGTAAGTTCTTTTCTTACAAAGCTTTGGAGAAAGGTCCCTTTTGATCGTCTCTACAACAGTGGGCACAAATGCAGTATTGACATGAGTATACTCCTCTTCTACACTCTAATCACTGTGTTAGCGACCGTGTCACTTACTCGGTGTAAATCATGTACCTTCGAAAACATATCATAAAATGACAGAACCTCTTCGGGAACTTTTCTGA